CCTGCCTCGGCCTCCCAAAGTGCTGGGATTACAAGCGTGAGCCACTGTGCCTGGCATCTGTAACCTTTTTATGTATGCTGTGCTCACCTGTGACTTGTGGCTGCCCAATATCTTTTGAACATGGAATCTCTCTCTCTCTCTCTATATATATATATATATATATGGAGTCTCGTTCTGTCATCCAGGCTGGAGTCCAGTGGAGCAATCTCGGCTCATTGTAACCTCTGCCTCCCAGGTTCAAACCATTCTCCCGCCTCAGCCTCATGAGCAGCTGGGATTACAAGTGCTCACCACCATGCCCGGCTAATTTTTTTGTATTTTTGGTAAAGACGGGGTTTCACCATGTTGGCCAGGTTGGTCTAGAACTCCTGACCTCAGGTGATTCACCTGCCTTGGCCTCCCAGAGTGCTGAGATTACTGCTGTAGGTCACTGCGCCTCGCCCCAGCCTACATTTTTATAGTGCGTGTACTGTGAATCTCATCTACCCAACGTGGATTCCAAGAAACTTGCTTTTTCCAGCCTCCAAATGGCCCTGGAGTGTGAGGTTTATTTGTACCTCACAGGAATGCTCACCTGGAGAACCCCAGCATTGAGGATGTTCTCAATAATCAGGTAGACATAATGACTAGCTCTATGCATGTCAGGTTTTTCCCAGTCACCCGGTCCTTGTTCAGTGACTTTGTAACGAAGTGATCATGGCAGCAGCACAGAAATGATCACATATGGATTCAGCGACATGAGCTTCCCTGACTAAGACTCACCTGTCTATTGGCACATTTGAGTTTGCCAGCAGAATTGGTCAATCCTAAGCACTTGATAGGGTGACCTATCCCTGGATGTACTAGTCAGCCATCTGGTGATAAGATGATTACATCAAACCCCTTCCATCACACTTCTTCAAAATAGGGATTTCCCTTCCCTTTTCACCATGCTTCTCCCAGTAACATCAACAGTAAACTTACTAAATGTCTCATTCGTTGCCATGCCATTTTAAACAACATTACTTTTGACTAAGGAACTCAATTTACTACAAAAGACATTGAGAAATGGTTGCTTGAATTAAAATGATTCACCATATTTATAGAATGTTATATTTTCCCATATTTAATGGAACATTAGAACGGCCTACTGAATATTCAATTATGGCTGAGTGTTGTCCTAAACAGTGTGGGACATGCCCTGAACCAGTGACCAATAAATAGGTTCTCCCTTAGCCAGAATGCATAGTCTGAAAACCAAAGGGTGGAAGTAGGAGTGGTGCTTCTTACTGTTATACTTATGGTTCCACTTGAGAAAATGTTACTCCCTCCCCAGCCACCTTGAGCTTTGGTGGTTTAGAGGTCAAGGGAGAAGCGCTTCCATCAGGGGATAAAACAATGGTCCCAATTGCATTGGAAGCTGAACTGATGACGATGTAATTTTGGGCTAGGATGGCTGATCCTGAATATCAAGGGTCAGAGGATATTATACAATGATGGGGGAAAGGAGTATTTCTGGAACCTGGGGAACCTTTTAACACCTAGTATTGTCTTCAGTAGCGTGAAGTTAATGAAATACTATAGCAGCGTTATACAGGCAGAACCACAAAGAGCTAAGATCTCTCAAAACATAATTTTGCGTTGTTCTATCAAGTAGTGTACTCCCACCAGCTCAGATATTGGCTGAGGGCAAGGGAACTTGGAACATGTAGTGGAGGAAGGAAATTATTATTATTTATAAAAGCATTTTTTAATTTCAATAGTTTTTGGGGAACAGGTGGTGTTTTGTTACATGAATAACTTCTATAGTGGTGATTTCTGAGATTTTGGTGTAATAATCACCCAAGCAGTGTACACTGTACCCAGTGTGTAGTCTTTTATCCTTCACCCCTTTCCCACCCTTTTTCCCTGAGTCCCCAGAGTCCATTGTATCATTCTTAAGCCTTTGCATCCTCATAGCTTGGCTCCAACTTATAGGTGAGAACATACAATATCTGGTTTTCCATTCCTGAGTTACTTCACTTAGAATAATGGTTTCCAACTCCATCCAGGTTGCTGTGAATGCCATTATTTCATTTCTTTTTATGGCTGAGTCATGGTATATCTATGCCACATTTGCTCCATCCACTCGTTGGCTGATGGGCACTTGGGCTGGTTCCATATTTTTGCAGTTGCATATTATGCTGCTATAAACGTGTGTACAAATGTCTTTTTCATATAATGACTTCTTTTCTGGAGGAAGGAAATTATAACACCAATGATAGCCTCATGACCAGGTGCAGGAATGAGACTACAGTCACTTCTCATATTTTCTGCCTTGCTGTGTCTTACATATTTTTACATATTTTCTTTTTTTCTCTCCATTTTCCTTATTATTTCATATAGGATACATTGGTGATGGTTAACTTCATTAAACAGCATAGGTACAGAATATTGGGACAAGATTACAACTGAACTAGACAGGAGTGAGTGCTTGGAGTTGGATGCAGCAAAGTTGGAAACTGCTTTCTTTGGGCCTCTGCTTTTGGGGAGGTAAGTGTATTTTCTTTTTTTTTTTTTTTAAGATGGGGTTTCACCATGATGGCCAGGCTGGTCTTGAACTCCTGACCTCAGGTGATCCACCCACCTCGGCCTCCCAAAGTGCTAGGATTACAGGCATGAGCCACTGCGCCAGGCCATTTATTTTCATTTGAACGAAAATTGTTGCAATTTCTTACACTGTAGCAGTGGTTCTCCAACTTTGCTGCATGTTGGAATTACCTGAAGTAGTTTTTTAAAATGCAGATTCTGTTTCAGTAAATCTGGGGTGGAGGCTGAGATGTAGCACTCACCATTTCCTAGGTGATGCTGATGCTGCTGGCCCAGGAACCTCGTGTCAAATAGAAAAGCACGTCATTGTTGCTGCTGTTGTTGAGAGTGACAGTCCAATGGCACTCATGACTATCATCTTTACAACACCCTCTCTACATTTTGCTAGTTTCCCACATTTGGAACACGCCATTTTCCAGCCTTCCTAGCAGCCAGGGTGCAAATGTGCCCTAAGTTCTGCTAGACTTTGATTTGACTGTGAGGAGCCTGAGAACACCAGCTTCATGAGGGGCATGCAAACTGCCAGTAAGGTGGCAGTAGAGGTGTCCAGTTAAGAAGCACTTCCTCCCTGACAAGGCCAGTCCTGGGAGTGAGTCTGGCCACTATTCCTGGATGCCGAGCAATGAGCCTGTTTCTCGAGGCACCCCACAGTTTTATGAGCTAATCTGACATCCTCTCATAATCCTGTTCTTAAACTAGCCATGGGGGATTCTGTTTGCAACACAAAAATCCTAACACATACAAATAACTGCGTACTTAAAATTTAAGTTTAAAAAGAACAAAAGTAGTTTTATGGAACAAATGAACTTTAAAAAAAGCAAATAATTTAAATGAGATGTTTTATAAAGCACTTAGCACAATGTGTGGCATATAGAAGTACTTGATAAATGCTGTTGTTTTAAAAGAGATTGTTTTATTATTTTTATGGAAATGACACGTCCTCATGAAAGTTTGAGTAATTACAGAAAAATATACCCAAATACCACCTTGTAGAACATGATTCTAGATATCTTTGCCTAAAAATAGATGTAAGAAAGTAATAATAAAGAGATGGACGGCTGTAATCAGAACTAAAATTGCAAGAATAGGATCACAGTTAATGATATTTTTAAAATAAAATGAAAAAAACTAATTTTATTAGTATTTAATAAATGAAAAAGAAAAAGTAAAACCAAAGGAATTCCTGAAACAGAGATAAATACCTTTTTACTACACAGACCTTTCCGGTCTATAGAAAATTAAGGGGTATGCCAAATATAATTGGCATTCTAAGTGGAACAAGTATTTTCTCTCTCCCTGTCCCATTGTGTAAGAGATCACGCACAAATCTCATTGTGAAGAAGATTGCCCTTAAGAAACAAGTCTTGTCAGGCTCGGTGGCTCTCACCTGTAATACCAGCACTTTGAGAGGCCAAGGCAGGTGGATCACGAGGTCGAAAGATCGAGACCATCCTGGCCAAATGGTGAAACCCTGTCTCTACTAAAAATGCAAAAATCAGCTGGGTATGTAGGCACACGATGGTAGTCCCAGCTACTCGGGAGGCTGAGGCAGGATAATCACTTGAACCCGGGAGGTGGAGGTTGCAGTGAGCCTAGACAGTGCTACTGCATTCTAGCCTGGTGACAGAGAAAGACTCCATCTCAAAAAAAAAAAAAAAATCTTTGGCTTTCTTTTTACACACTGTAAATCTGTATGAATACTTCCAATTCTTATAAAATATTGCACACTTTTTAATATTTAAATTTTGGGAGGGCAATAGCTGTAAACTTTATACAGAGCTATCTCCCCAGTCTCTAGAACGATGCTTCCTATATTTAAATTACTGAGCAGATAAATGAATAAACAGATGCATAAACAAAATGAACAGATGAAAAGAACTTGGGTGTTAGAGTCAATAAATCTGGACCCAAACCCCTATTCTACAACTTTATAATTGTCTGACCCAAGAAAAGGTACTGAATCTCTTGGGTTGGTTTATTCATTGTAAAACAAGAATGGCAATATCTGCTTCACGAAGACCTTACAGTTCCATGAGAGTGTGGGCTTAAAAAAATCTGTTGAGTGAATGAACGAATGTGAGGTTCTCACTAACTATAATGTGTGTTGATGTCTGAATCTAATTGGCCTGTGACTAACAGGCCTTTTTATTTATCTGGTTTTTACTGCTTTTCTGCAGCTTTGATAAGGTCATTGGTGGCACATGTCCCTGCTATTAATGTTTCTCTCTCTAGCTGTGGCTTGTCTTTCCTAATTTATTTCTTTTACCTGCTTTAGAACAAAAAACCAGTTAACTAGAGTGTTCATAAACCAGATAATCAGGATTGTTAGATAAAGCAGGAGGAAGTGGGCTCTGTGCAAAGGTCTGACAGGCTGTGCCAAGGTATGATAGACTCTGCTCTCAGTAAATGTCTTAATCCTTAGGAAATATTTATTTTTTGGTTTATAAAATGTAATTTTTTTAATGTTACTCTGCTGTTACATAGGGCATAACATTTTCACAAGGCTTTTTTGGGACTACGGTCGATGATTAGCAACACACGATAGTGGTCCAACTCTCTAAATAACAATCACTAGACGAACTGGACACCCTCTCACATGTGCATAAATCTGCATGAAAAAGTACTAAAGTTTTAACTTGGACTTGTGTATTTTAATTTATTTCCCCTTTCTAGTGTATTAAGAAATGACATGTACTTTAATTTGCCAAAAGCCATGCTTGTATTCTGGTAGCAACATGCTACTTCTATTTACACAGTAAAGTGAATATCAGAACTTACAAAGACAGGAGGTATACGTGAATTTTTATTGGGAATGAAGGTTAAACAGCAGCAAATAAAGAGTGAATAAGGAAACTCCCTGTTGACACAGATTTACATGACCTCCTTATGTGATATAGGAGGCATTTCAATTTGTGACTCCTAGCCAGAGATGGCAAGTGCTTTTCCATTCAATCTAATACTTCTAGATTCCTACTAAAAAGGAATATATTAAGAGCATGGAAAAGCAGCTTATCTAAAGGAAACCCCTGAAGAGTAGGGGAGAGAATGTAGAAATTAAGAAGTTATGTGGAACACTCTTCAAAGTGTAATTAACTACATTTTCATATCTTCACCATAATACAAAACACAGTCCCTTGCTGAACTGGTTCAGATTACTTAAATACCAGATTTATATGAAATGAAGCTATTAATACTTTTCTACAGCAGTAACTGTACACCAGGAAGGCCAATACAAACACAAATCAAGGAATGAAGTTTTCCCAAAGCTGCAGTGTGAAAAGACTATAAACCGTTGATTCCATACACATGAATGGTTTCTTTGCTATAGGAAATCCAAGTGGAATAAGGAATGGAGATGTGTAAAAAGGTTTCTTGAAGGAAAGAAGGATGACACCCTGTATGGATTTAGTTTTCAGCTCCTTCTGCTGCATCACATTCTTCTCCTGCACTGTCTGATGTCCAAAGTGTTAGGTTGTCTCTAAGCAACTGCATGATGAGGGTGTTGTCTTTGTAGGAGTCTTCATTCAGTGTATCAAGTTCAGCAATGGCCTCATCAAAAGCCGTTTTAGCCAGCGTGAAGGCAAGCTCTGGGTTATTAAGAATCTCACAGTAAAATACAGAGAAGTTAAGAGGAAGCCCCAGGCGGATTGGGTGTGGGGTTGCATCTATCTTGCGCATATCAAATGTTTCTTGCTAAGCTCCTTGGGAATTACCTATCGTTTATTTTTGATCGTCACCACATGCAACTTCAGCAAGGTACCGGAAGTAATCACCCTTCATTTTCAGAAAGAAGACCTTACTCTCTGGATTAGTTGTATTGGCTGTTAAGTATTTATTCAACAATTCCAGGAATACGGTACAGATGATCTCAGCTTGGCCTCCACTTTCTTCAGATGGTCCTTAATCAGCTGCAACTTCTTGTCCAAGGTGTAGGTCTTCTGCTCAATGCTCAAAATGACCCTCCAGGCGGCCCTGCAGCCCCTAATCACATTCTTGTAGGTCAGGTTAGTGGGGTGGGGGAGGACAAAGGGTGAGGGCGAGCACAGACCCGTAGTGGGAGGAGCCTTCAGAGCTTCATGTCTCCGTGGCTGTGCTGTGAGTCCCACCACTTATGTATGTCTGCTTTTGGCTTTTAGGAAATATTTAATTTGACATTCACTACTCAGATATTTTGTTTGTTTCTGTTGAATTTTAATGTGTTTTGAAGAGCTGCTGAGTGACTAAGATTTATGAACTATTATAAACTATTATTGAAAGATTTTAACACTTGAAAACGATGCCTAGCAGATTCTAGTGACTATTAAAAAGACTGATAAAAAAATTACAAATCAAAAGTTCCAAAAACCAAGAGCATCTATACAAATTAGGCCAGGTCTTTGCTCAAACAAAAATATTTAAAATTTAATTGTTCTCTCTCTTTCTATCTCAGGAACATTCCCATTTAGTTTTAGATAAGATATGGTAAGTAAAGAAATTAATAGAATCAAAATTTCTGATCACAATATTTGAACATCACTAAGGACAGCAAAAACCATTCATAAACACAGGCTTTTTACTGTTTCCCAATTAGAAATTAGTTTTTAATTCTGTCTTTTCATAAATAGTAAAAGAAATAAGTTTGAAGACAGATTTAAGCAAACAAAGGACTCACACTAGAAATAATGAAAAATGGATAATAAAAACCTTTATGTGAATGGCAGAAAGTTTATTTACCTTGGCCAGGTTTCTCCACCAAATCCGTAATGCTGATGTCCTTTGCCCATGACACGAGGAGGCTCACACTTTGGTCTGTGGTCCTCAGGGAGTGAAATCGGTATTATCCCACCATATTCTTTTTCAGCGCCCCAAGGAAGCCTACATTGCTGAAGTGATTCCCTTAATTCCTGATACCTGTTAAAAAAGAGAGACTTTAAACAGCTTCAGCAACATACGGATGCACAATTGCATAAAATTCCTACTGCTTCATAAGTATTTTCAGATTAAATCTTCAGAACACAGAATTTTCAGTGTCAGGTAGAGTATGATACTGGTTATTTAGGCATCATGGAACTGCTGGAAGAATGAGGTTAAATTTCTGAGGACTTACAGATTAACCTTTTTATGGTCATGAATTGTAGTGTGTTTATTTTTTAATCTTTTTAGCTTAAAAAATTTTTTTTTGAGACAGGGTCTTACTCTGTTGCTCAGCCTGGAGTGCAGTGGCATGATCCTGGCTCACTGCAGCCTCTGCCTCCTGGGCTCAAGCAATTCTCACTACAGGTGAGTGCACCACACCTGGGGAATTTTTGAATTTTTAGTAGACACAGGGTCTCACCATGTTGGCCAGGCTGGTCTTGAACCGCTGACTTCGTGATCCATCCCCCTTGGCCTCCCAAAGTGGTTGAGATTACGGGCATGAGCCCACCACGCCTGGCCATGTGTTTATTTTTATAAACATCTTTATTGAGATTTCATTCACATGCCATACAATTCATCCATTTAAAGTGTACAATTCAGGCCAGGTGCAGTGGCTCATACCTGTAATCCAGCACTTGGGAGGCCAAGGCAGGAGGACTGCTTGAGCTCAGGAGTTCAAGACCAGCTTGGGCAACATAGCAAGACCCTGTCTCTATTTTATAAATTTATAATTAATTTTAAAATAAAGTGTATAATTCAATGGCTTTAAAGCTTATTTAGTTACGTGTGAGCATCCCCATAGTCAACTTTACAACATTTTCATCATTTCAAAACAACCCTGTATTCTTAAGCCATCATCCCCTATATTCCCCACCCTTACCCTATCCCTCAGCAACTATTATACTAATCTACTTTCCGCAGATTTGCCTATTCTGGACATTTCCTGTAAATAGAATAATAAAATATGTGGCTTTTTGTGATGGGCTTCTTTGACTTGGCATAATGTTTTCAAGGTTCATCCATTTTGTAGTACGTGTCCATACTTCATTCCATTTATGTATGTATGTATGTATTTGAGATGGAGTTTTGCTCTAGTCGCCCAGGCTGGAGTGCAATAGAGTGATCTTGGCTCACTGCAGCCTCTGCCTCATGGGTTGCAAGTGATTCTCCTGCCTCAGCCTTCTGAGTAGCTGGGATTACAGGTGCCTGACACCATGCCTGGCTAATTTTTTGTATTTTTAGTAAAGACAGGGTTTCGCCATGTTGGACAGGCTGGTCTCGAACTCCTGACCTCAGGTGATCCCCCTGCCCTTGCCTCAGCCTCCCAAAGTGCTGGGATTACACACATGAGCCACTGTGCCCAGCCTTTCCTTTTAGTGGCTATGTAACATTCTACCATATAGATATATCACATTTTGTTTCACCATTCATCAGTTGTTGGACATTTGGGTTATTTTGACCTTTTAGCTCTTGTGAACAGTGCTGCTATGAATATTCATGTTCAAGTTTTTGTTTGAATATCTGTTTTTCATTATTTGGGGAATTAAATTAGAAGTGGATCATATGGTAATTCTGTTTGTTGAGGAACTGCCAAACTGTTTTCTACAATAGCTGCTCCATTTTAGATTCCTTCTAGCATTTTATGAAGGTTCCAGTATCTCCACATCTTTACCCAATGCTTGTTATTTTCTGCAAAATGTTTTTAAAAAAATTATTGCCATTCTAGTGGACATGAAGTGGTACCTAATTACACTTTTTTTTTTTTTTAAGATGGGGTTTCACCATGTTGGCCAGGCTGGTCTCGATCTCCTGACCTCACGTGATCCACCCACCTCGGCCTCCCAAAGTGCTGGGATTACAGACATGAGCCACCATGCCTGCCCCCTAATTACAGCTTTGATTTGCATTTCCCCAATGACTAATAACGGTGAGCATTTTTTTTCCATGTTCCTATTGGCAATATCTTCATTGGAGAAATATCTATTCAGATCCCTTGCATTTCTTTGTTATTTGTCTTATTTTTGAGTTATAAGAGTTCTTGGCCGGGCACGGTGGCTCACGCCTGTAATCCCAGCACTTTGGGAGATTGAGGCGGGTGGATCACAAGGTCAAGAGATCGAGACCATCCTGGCCAACATGGTGAAATTCCATCTCTACTAAAAAACACAAAAATTAGCTGGGCGTGATGGCACGTGCCTGTAGTCCCAGCTGCTTGGGAGGCTGAGGCAGAATTGCTCTAACTCAGGAGGCGGAGGTTGCCGTGAGCCAAGCTCGCGCCACTGAACTCCAGCCTGGCACCTGGAGACAGAGCAAGACTGTCAAAAAAAAAGTTCTTTATATATCCTAGATATAAGCACCTAGATACAGGTATAACAGGCAAATATTTTCTCCTATTCTGTGCATTTTCTTTTTACATACTTGATAGTGTCGTTGAAAGCAAAGAAATTTTTTAATCTTGATTAAGTTCATTTGATCTGTTTTCCTTGTTTTGCTTATGTTTTTGGAGTCATATCTAAGAACACAGTTTCAAATCCAAGACCAGGAAGATTTGCTGCTATGTTTTCTTCTAAATATTTTACAGTTTAGCCCTTATGCTTAGGTCTTTGATGCAAGAGGAATTAATTTTTGCATACAATATGAGATAAGGGATCTCATGCATTTATTCTTTTGCATGTGGATATCCAGTTGTCCTAGCTCTATTTGTTGAAAGTCATTCTTCCTCATTAAATGGTCTTGGCTATAGATTAACTATGGATTTTCAAAAATGGAGAGTATTGTAAAAGAATATTTCTAATCTTGTACAGGAGCTACTTGCTCCTAAGTTTTATCTAGAACTACTGTAACAATGGTTCTCAAAGAATGGTCCCTAGACTAGTAGCATAAGCATTTCCTAAGAGCTTCTTAGAAATGCAAATTCTCGGGCCCCATCTCGGGACCTAAGAATCAGAATCTCTGGGGATGGGGCCCAATAACGTTTTAAGAAGCCCTCCGGGTGATTCTTGTGCATGCTAAAGTTTTAGAAGCATTATCCTATTCAAGTTACCTTCAATGGTCATCATGTCTTCAAGTTCCACCCCTTACAACAGTAGTATGCAGAGGACTGGAGATATGGGGGTTTCCTAAATTGGTTGGTAGGGCTTATCTAATCTTGAAACTGGTAGCTCAGATGATTTTATCTGCTTTTTCTTAACAAAGGAGTGAAGGGCAGGGACTCTATTGGTTCACTGTTGTAACCATTTACTCCAGCGCCTGGCACACAGGAAGTACCCAATGAATACTATTGGATAAATGAGTCAGGCCAAAGAGTTGGATTTGTTTCCTATACTGCTTTCTGTGAAGGAATGAAATCTTCTGGTTAGGGAGACAGCCTCACAAAAACACCTACAAATGTATCTGGCAAAAGTTCTGCTTCCTAATTAGTAAGGATTTAATGACTTTCGGTTTCCAGTAATGGCGGTCTAGGTTATTTGGGCCAAACTTCTCACTGAAAACAACTAAAAATACCGGGAGGAGAAAAAAAAATCTTAAAAACTAGTTTTTTGACAAGACAGAAAGGGATGAATGCTACAAAGAGGAGAAATAGGAACCCAGTGAAGTAAACAAGCATGGAAGCCACCTTTGCCCTTAGGGCACGGCCAATCCTGGCAAATTTACATTTTTGTTTTAAGGACCTTGAAAGGTGAGGCATACGGAAATCAGCCAAGTGAAGATCTAAAAAAATCATCTACACAAGAAGCTGGGACCCTAAAACGCTTACCGTCTCATGTTCCAGGTGAGTCAGAAGTTAGCCAGCTCTCTTGTGGCACCAGTTTGCATCTACCCTAAACTTGCACTTGGATTTAAGTGGTCCTGGATTGGTATTATAGTACATATTGCTCGAAGGCCTTTGCAGGACAAACAGAAATCCTTTCAGGGGGAAGGATTCTTAGGGGAATCACAAGATGAGTTCTAAAGGATGAGTAGGAGTTATCTAGAGGAAAGGGAGGAAATACTGGGGCATGCAAGGGAATAACAGGTGGAAAGGCCTAGAGTTTAGTAAAGTTATAGATTTGAAAATTCCTGACAGTGTTGGCTCCAGTCTAGAATCTCTCTTAGGGAAGAAATTACTTTTGTTTTGTAAAATATTTTGCTAAGCCACTTGGTGTAGACACAGAGACTCTGAAAGTACGGGTGTTGGTAGGAGCTCAAGCAAGCTCAAGACTGATTAAACTGC